CGGTTTTTGTACAATACAACACACGTTAATTTAAGGTGCGGCATTTTGATATAGTTAGCTAAATTCAGCGAGGGCACGTTAATATTGACAAGGCGAGTGCAATCGAATGTGTTGATTGTCATTTTGACAATATACTGAAAAAGGTTTCTCCTGTAGATATTAAATTGTTCGCTGCACAGTCAGAAGTAAAGAAGTGACTTAATAATAATGGTCATTTTCTTATATTTAAGGGATTTTGAACTACATATTAACAAATTCATACGTTTGTTCAACATTCCAAAAATGCTCTACGTCATGAAATTTAATGACATTTGTTATAATTAGGCACCTAAGTTTTAAGAATATTATTGCACTTTCTTTAATTGTTATAGGACAATTTGATTACCGCGCACTTTTTCGTCAAACACACTGCACTGATATTATAAAAGATATCCCAATCAGACGAGTGAAAAATGAAGGTTTTGTTTTTTTGACAAATATCGAAGTTAATGAGTTCCAATTATTTTTTGGACGCAATGCCGAGCCGAGAAAGTAGTTCGGTATAAAGGAAAATTTATAACAACAGCATTGTATGTTAACACGTGTAACGGTCAGCGAAATCTGTACGCGTGTCTCCATCTTGTTTTGTTGTACAGTCAGCATCAAATAGTTCGTCATACCTAAAGTCTGCAAAGTTAACAACACAACCTTATTGGATATGGATACTGTTTATCTGAAATAAATGATATTATTATTATGTTTGTACGCTTTAGAGCTCACGGGTCAAAAGTGGCCCTGTCCTTTATAAGGCTTGCGTGGGGATACAGATCCAACACGTAGAGGCCGTCTTAAGCGCAAAATAATCGACAAAAGTGAAAGTGGTGCACATGCTGGATCTATCATGGGATGTAGCCAGAGACCATCCCCAGCCTGTGCACAGGAGCTATTGCAGTTATTGGAGAATAGACTAGGGATATGGATGAAGGATGGATGGACTGGTTACTGGGCTATGGATGGAGACTATTATTATTATTCAAATTGTAACACAAACGTGTTGCAAACTTTTTGGCTTCTTTGGGTGTCACGAACTATTTGATGTTGACTGTACCTTTGGGCGCCATTTTAGCAAGATACAGTCTTACGCGTGATTACGAGTTTTTAAAGTAATTATTTTAAGTGTCAGCGAGCTAGTTTTAGTAGATAGGTACCATTATGTCACGGACTTTAGTCTTTTTTTGTCTTTCCTCGACGAAGTTAAAGGTCGTCTTCCCTCCAGTCAGTGAGTGCAACGCGAATAACACTTAACAAACAAAGATCCATTTTGTTTGAAGTTTTTTGACCCAATATTATAACTAAGACTTGGAATAGTCCTAGCCTGCGTGTAGTACTACTAGGTATTCACTATTTTATTCAACTGCACCTAAAAACTAAAAGAGCATCTCCAGTATTTACAAACCGAACTCGCTCTCATCAAAGCGGGCATGCTCACAAACAGAATTTACAGAATAGTTGCAAAGAGTGGGGTTACGTCATAACATCTTGGAAGCCGCGGACCGGCGTATTAATAATGCAGGCCCGTAATCAGTACTTTTGGTGCGGGATGTAACAAGGATGTTTAGTTTTGAGATATTAGAGCGATAGTGTTATAGTTTTTGATGCTAATACACTGTACGTAAAGGTTTAAGACACTACTAAATAATAGCGCTCTAATAAATCTAATTAAATAGAAGACAATTGACAGAAAGAATAGTTGCAAAGAGTGGGGTTGATTTTTATGTTATAACGATTTCCTATAGATAACTAGTGCTTAAAAAAAACAAAAACTTCTTATCGAACACATCCTATACAGATATTTATAGTAATTCAGCACCATAATCGCTTCTTAGGTTATAATATTGGATACAGAATTTTCATGTAAAACATATTCCATTTTTCTTGACTTTTCGTGTAAGGAGAGCTTAATAAAATACTGTTTAAATACTGTAGTGTTACAAACCATGTGTACGCACAGCGTATAAATTAGTTACACGTTTTTACCGAATCAACTTTGCGATTCATATTAGTGCTTAAACTGCATGGAATCTAACTCTACCTTTTTACGTTAAACCGTTCGAGTTCACATAGTACCGTGGCGCGATAAAGTAACTCGCTAGGGCTACATAATAGTTTGTTGATATGTCCTCTGATGCAAGTGCGCTTGTTTTTGTGCTATCCGCCATCGATCTGTTTGTCAGTTTTTACGAACAATGTACAGTCAGCACTATGTTTAAGTGTACAGTTTTGAACTGTATGTCCTAAACTGTATTCTCTGCAAAAGTGTATCTATTATTGATGTTGATTATACTAACGGTTGTGTACGCGTCAACTGTTACATTGTATTGTATTTGTCGTAAAATGCGTATCAATCGGTAAACAATGAGATAAATAATCCGCTTTGAATTGCAGATACAGTGATTGTTAGATAAGTCTTTATTATTATGTATGTATAAAGTATGTACACATTATATTTTTCTATAATAAATAAATAAATAAAAATGAAATATTTCCTTAGGGTCCACCCTCAGTTCCCAGTTAGATAGTTCATTTAACTAAGACCTATCCTTTTTATGGGACTGCATCCAATACAGGGGTCAACATAATAATATCACTGTCATGATAACTAATAGCTATGAAATGTACCTAAGCAAGATTTTATACTATTAAACTACATGTAAATAGACTGAAATCCAAGTAGTGTTATTTGTATCCTTAAATAACACACACACACAGATAAAAGATCCTAAAATTAAACTATTTATCTATTTTTATTAGTTCACTAAGCTTTAATTATGCGTTATAGTAATCCTAATTTTTATGACCCAAATCGCAACCTCGCTTGTTTTATGCGAAAATTATGCATGTGTTTGAACAAACATAATGCAAGATATTCTCTGCCAATAATGCTAAATATATACTTCTCTTGGCACCACAAAAGATAGACTATTAATTATTACAAAACATAGTTAGCATCGCGATTGTGCCATAGATAATTATTTAATACATATAAATTCATTAATTAATAATTCCAAACATCTTAATGCCATATTTTATGACATAATGTATTCACAGGTGATTCGTGGAGATTCATTCATTTGTTGGTTTTGAATTAAAATTAATTTTAACCAATAGAACTTTGTATATTTTTTTACTCCGTTATCTTTGTATTTTTATTAATTAGTATAATATACACTTCAAATTTTATTCTCAAAGTAATAATTTGTTTACGATTCTATCTTAAACTATAATCACTCGAAATATATTTTAATTCCTATACTACAAAAGTTTTTTTAATTAAAAAGAATCGCCAATTTATTCATAAATGTGTTGTTCAAAGTTTGTTACTTGTTTTTTACAAACGAAAATCATTGCGGAAGACAAAAATGATGACGAAAATCCGTGTACAATAAGTCCAATTCTACAAACGTATTTCTCATGAAAATAATATCTAAATTGCATTACACATAATTATCCATAATAAAATCTTCACTTCGAATCATCATAAGGGTAGATAAAAATAAATACTTAGGTACTTACTGCTTATTATGTTTTGCCCCTTCTAATCTAAAAAGATCTTCTCAATTAAAGGAACAGTTTTACTAAACTGACCATTTTCCTTTGACCTAGCAACCGTTAGCTTCACTACCCCTAGCCGTTGAGAGAAAATGCCTTAAATTACTTCATTATTATACAGTGTGAGTCACGTTAAAGTGTACATATGAAAATAGATGAAACTAGACCTATTTTTATCGACAAAAAAGAGGTCATAAAATTTTTGAGATTTTTTTTAATTTTTTATGGAATTTTTTTTCTTCCAATTACTTATTGTAAAGAAAACGTAATAACTTTTAAACTAAGCGGTATATCCTGATAAAATAAAAACAGTAATAATGCTAAATAACAGGCGATACTAAAAAAATACATAAAATACACAAAAAAGGCCAACAAATAATAAAAAAATTATACTCTTTGAAAAAAATCTGCTTTTAAATTCGTGTTTTTTTGGTTATTTGATAAATTTCTCCAAAAAATGCCCCTATAACAGGTGGTTTTTATTACTTTGTATTATTCTCTATCGTATTATCTTTGTAAAACCAAAAATCGCATGTCTCTATCCCTATCACAACATTTGCTATGAGCGTTTGAACAAAGGCCTGCCACAACATTATTCTCCGCTGCAGGTAGAGAAAATTTTAATTTTAACTAAAATGCTTATTTTACTTTGAAATCTTTTGTTTTTATTTGAAATTTAACTTGTCTTTATCAAAATTACAAATCTAGAGCCATTTTCAGTTTCGTTGTTAACGAAGCGTTGAATAGCGCGCTCGGAGAGGCTTAGTTCAAACGATCATTGCAAATGTTGTGATAGGGACAGAGACATGCGATTTTTGGTTTTACGAAGGTAATACGATAGAGAATAATACAAAGTAGTAAAAACCACCGGTTATAGGGGCATTTTTTGGAGAAATTTATCAAATAACAAAAAAAACACGAATTTAAAAGCAGAATTTTTTCAAAAAGTATAATTTTTTATTATTATTTGGCCTTTTTTGTGTATTTTATGTATTTTTTTAGTATTGCCTGTTATTTAGCATTATTACTGTTTTTATTTTATCACGATATACCGCTTAGTTTAAAAGTTATTACGTTTTCTTTACAATTAGTAATTGGAAGAAAAAAAAATCTATAAAAAATTTAAAAAAAATCTCAAAAAATTTTTGACCTCTTTTTTGTCGATAAAAATAGGTCTAGTTTCATCCATTTTCATATGTACACTTTAACGTGACTCACACTGTATTTATGCCATTTAACTGATCCTCATCCCTTTTATAGTATTTCACCACGGTTTGATTTTATGAAATTCATCCTTTTTCCACCGCCTTTATGACTAAACGCAGCCCTTTTGTCAAGAAAAAATCTTTCTCTTCTAAAAGATTCAAAGTTGTTTAAAAACCCGCTAAATTGACCATTTTCTCTTGACCCAGCGACCGGAGGGGCGTGCTCGACGCGGCGGCTCTGCAAGCGCTGGCTGGCGAGAGCGTGCTGGAGAAAGAGAGGCAGCTGTCCGAGATGATTCTTCAGCTTCAGATGGTGAGAGAGCAGCTGTTGGCGCAGCAGGAGCATGCTAAGGTAAGTTTTTATACTTTATGTCAAATAACGACGAATTTATTGAATGTTTAATAACTTGAAATATCCAATTATTTAAGGTGGGAATCGAACCGACGACGACGCGTCGCTATTACTAAGTACAGAGACAGCACATCACACTATCCATTTTCTTGTATAATAGCAGATATTGTAACTACACAATATGCTCCAGTGCTTAATTTTGTGTGAAAATTAAAAAATATTTATTTTACAAAATTCTCTATTCGTATTTCGACCCCAGTAAACCAGGTTAAATACTCCATCTTCAATAGGAAATTTAGTCCACTGCAGGAACACCTTTCTCTCCAATTTACTTTACTTCTAATCCAAATCCTATCCTCAAGCTTGTCAAACATTCGGGGAAGGCCTGATCTTCGCATATTTGTCACTTAGTCGCCTCGAATTACCTACCGGGCACAAAATATAGGGTATGTTATGCAATGTAGGATGCAGTCAGTCCTGAATTCATTCTCATCTACGAAACAAATTGATTGTTAAATGTTAATTGTTAAAATATAAATCCAAAAATTAGAAACAAAATCAAAAATTCATAAACTCCAACTAATTACTGTCACCTTTGTTGTCCCTCTCTGTATGCGAGGTCACGCCCCAGTCCAAGGAGCGAGGGCCTGTTCCCTATTAGGCCTCTACCATTCGCTCAACTTAGGCTGGGTTGCACCATCTTACTTTAACTTTAATAAACGTCAAAAATCTGTCAAACTCCATACAAAAAAAAACACTGGTTATCTTTTGCCTAGGCGCAGACCACCGATTTTTAATTGGCCGATAGTTGAGTCGGGCTGTTAATCAGTATGGAGATGTATGAAAATGCGCACACTACACCGATTAGGTGTTGGTATCGGCTGATTCTTCATACAAATTGGAAATCGATCCAACAATCGGCCAACTAAAAGTCTGTGGTCTGCGCCTAGGCTTATAGTTACGGTCAAAGTTAGGTGGTGCAATTCAGCCTTATTGTTTAAAACTTAAATGGAGTTGACAGTTTGAGCAATTCGACCTCGGACGTTGACAATGATGCCTGTAAATCTAAAGTTCAAGAGGGTATGGCTTATTTGGATGACAGACTGACCTTGTATGCTGAGATGTATGATACACATTTGCATGTTGTTGTTTAGTACTCGTATCTGTGACATATTTAGATCGTTGGATGGCGTTTTGTTCATAAAGCTGCCATAAACAAATTCTGTACACGCCATCAAGTAACTTAGTTTTGGGATCATCTTTACCATCATCAGGTCATGTAATTTCCTCTACAGATTGTTTCTCTCGCTCTCTAATTTACGAGAGGAAAACGTTTTTACCGATTTCATAAAGGTAGCAGAAGGCGCTGGATGGTAGCTGCTACCAACCGGTCAATATTGAAATCATCGGAGGAGGCATGTCCATCAGTGAACGTCCTGTGACTGAAATGACGAATGAAACGTTTTTGTGATACTATACCTTTCTAATTACCTATTTACAAACGTCTTAAGACTAAACCAAAGAAAAGTAATCTTTGCCATTGCTTTGAAAATAAGCGATGTTCACTTCGGCTAAACAAAATCTCGTTTGTTTATTGTAAAACATTACCAAACACAAGATCACAAAGCGGTAGCTCACCAAAACGAGCCTCTTTATTGTGCCTCGACCTTTTTGTCTACCCTTTCTGTAAATTAGATTTGTTCCGGGCCGACTGTACCCGAATGGACTCCGGTTGAGTTCACAAAGCTTTTTGTTCGCAAATCTCATTTGGACTTAAAAGTTTACTTGATTGTAGCGGTCTTAATTATTAATTCAGGTTGTATCAATAAAATGTCGGCGACGAATTTGTTTTTCTGAAAATGGCTGAGGATTTTCTCAGACTAGACGACGTGTCTAATAATGATAATGCAATAGACCACAAGTACCTATAAAATATAACGTTAAACAATGTAAGTATGTACACATGAAAGGAAAGAAGGAACATAACCAATAAGTACCTATTGTGAAATGAATAGTAAGTAATTAACCGACTTATAAAAAGAGGAGGTTCTCATTTGTCTCTTTTGTTTTACTCCAATGTTCTCGCCTAAATATGACAATATCTTCACAAAACGTAATTATAAATACAGGGTGTAGTATAGATATATTACGTTACATTTTTTATCTTTGTAGCATTTTAAGGTTGATTTGATTTTCAAAGAGTTTTAAAATAGCAAAACAAAGTATTCAAAGAGTACAGCAAATAAATTGCAAAGAAGATCTCTCGTCAAATCAATGTTCCCATCGAGCTAGCGCCTACAAAGACTCGTACTAATGAATCGGCGATAAAAACTCTCATCACAATACTTGCCCCTCAGGGCTGGCTCTAAGTACCCTCGGTTTGTAGTTACATCCGGGTTTGTTTGATAGAAACGTACCTAATACAATGACAAATGTTTATATTTAACTTTGCGTGTTAAGCCATTGTGTGCTTTAAGGTTGAGTGAGTATATTTCATGTCATTCACAAAATCCTCGTCAGTAATATAAATATTACGTACTGGACATGCAGAGTGCAGACACTACTTATAGTATATTAATGTCTTTCTTTTTCGTTTATATTTCCATAAAAAACATACATTTACATTTAGATGAATACAAAAACCGTGTCAGTTTTGTCCGAATACATTACACTAATGAGCGTGTAACATCGTACAAATAGTTACCTCTGATATTGGATTGAAATAATATAAATTATTGTTCAACAGACAAATCGGAACTTTTTTATGAGTTTTATTATGTATTTTTCCAGCTTTTTCCAGATTGAAAAAGACTAATTAAAAAGTTCGAAGCAATTATCTTTTTTGTTTCGTTTTGTTGATTGGAAGATGGAAGCAATGACAGCCCTGTATTGTTGCCTGTACAGATTGAAGAGGCCGGTCTATACAGCTCTGCAAATGGGAGCAGCTAATGGCGGCCGCTCGCGTTCGCGCGCTTTTTTCAAATACAGAACGTCCCTTTGTTGACTCCGTTCCGGATTGCGAATAGGCGCGTTCGATACTGGCCGGTTTGTTTTTCTTTTTTCACCGGCTTCCTGTTGTGTTCTTGTGTGCCAGACAGTTTTGTTTTAGTGCGTTCGGAAATCGAACTCTTATTGAAATGCACCAGTCCCGTCGTGTTTTGTTAACGAAAACACACTAGCTTCCATATTTAAAATTCAAAATGATTATGAAAATGTGCAAAGAAGATTTATTGGGTTGTGTACAGGTTAAGCGCACGGTAATGGTCAATTTACCAAGTAAGCAAGCGTAACAATCAGTAACGCGCAATGATTAATTAGTAAATGAATTTGGCACTAAAGTATACAACCATGATTACCGTCTTACCTAAAAATGGTAATTGGTTCAGAAACAATTAAAATAACCATTAATTATTTACGCTTCGACGGGCTTGGCGGCATGAAGAGAAGAATGCTTATCGTCAAATTATTTATTAAAATAAAACATGACGCTAAAGATAATAATAGATAAATTTATTCATTTATTTTGATGATCGTGCTGATATGTACTCATTGAAACGAGTACCTCTTAATTAGTTATTACTGGAAGTTAATTAGCCAATCCATAATAGCTCGTAAGCGCTCCCCATCAACTGAACGAGCACTCATTCGGATTAAACATTCGCAACGCGGCCCGATAACTGTATAAAGCATTGTAGCCCTCCCCCAGACAGCGGAAATATGAAAATGAAACGTCCAAACGGAAAAACGCATCAAACGCCCGCGCCCGTCGGCGGACGGACAAAAAATGAACACAAAACATGCGCTTAATTCGCAAAAAGCCCGTTTGATGTCGCTAATTGACAATCAGCCGGGGACGCGTCTCATTGGTTCGCTTCCTCGTTCCGTTTTTAAAAATTAAAAACAAATAAATTATCCAGTGGCCATCTTTGTTAGATGCGCTCTCTAATGCGTTCCATTTTTAAATATAAAGAAAGCGCACTTTTCTCATCGGGTAATTAATTACGTTACTTCCAGCTTTACTGTTGCTGAAAACATACAGATAACAGACATCTTTTAATCTTGAATTTTCAATTATTCATTTGAGAGAATTTCTATAAACTTCATTAACGAAAACGTAACCAGTGGTAGGTACATAGGTAGGTTCAGTTTTTAACAGGATGCGTTTTAAAGTATTAACCTAGGCCAGGTATATTGATTGTTAATAATTAGAGTTCATATTAATCGAGTTTGTAATGTTAAAACTTTTGAAAAAGCAATACACTTGTAAATGATTATTCTAATTAAAATAAAATACGAGTATTATTTGCCTTCACAATAAACTTAAATAACATCAGAAACCACGTTTCTTCATTATAGCGCATCACGCTAAAGCAGTTCTTTAAAAGGTGTCTGTCATTTTCACTACATCGCCCGACCGCAAAAAGTGCGTGTCGTGTCAACGAGTCGCTTAAAAAAGACCTAAATTAAAAATATATGCTGTTATGACATCCAGGGGTGAGTCATGTCAGACCAATTAGTTAGTGAAAGAAAACTAAAGGACCGACGGTCACGGTGACAACCTTTTTGATTTAAATTAAAAATATAAACTGCACATGGCAACCCCGCCGCGCCGCCTCTATTTCTCGATTAAGTTACCGCGATTTAAACTGTGGAATGTGTTCGTTTACGATGATTTACGATTTAAAAGTTACTGGCACGTTGACAAAAGAGGAAAAAGAATTTTAAAAAGTAATGCACTACGCCAAATTACGTTAATGCATTTCCCTAACACAGGATGCCACTTAACACTTGAAATATGACGAATGATCGTTTCGTTTGATACGACGCGTCCAAATCACGCCCATTTTAATCGTCCAAAGAGTTTTCTGCACGCATCGTTAACTTTATACCTACACTGTACCATTGTTTTCCCAATGATAACGGGCGAATCGAATTATTGGCTACGTTGAGCCGTATCATCGTGCACGCGAATCTAAGCTTAATTTGTTGTGAAATTAGAG